TATATATATATTCTAAGAGGGAAATGCTATATTTTTCTGTTTCTGTAAGAGATAAATACAGTGGACTTTTTTCTATTGGTAATGATTCATTCATTTCTCTCAAAGCAGTTTCTTGTTTTCTGAGTAATTTAAAACCAACAGACTTAAGGTTTCCTGTGAAACCATGGAAACCTTAAGTCTGTTGAAATATCAGGTTAAACACATTCCAAGATTTGCTCAAATTAAAATTCTTTTGTGTACTTTTGTAGTGCTTGAGAAAAAGACTTCATTATTTATGAAAAAATGTGTTTTATCTTGCAAATGGTATTTAAACATTAGCTTACTATTTAATAGAATGAATGTTTATGAAGTTGACATGAAACCATCTCAGAAGAAGTGGGCAGGTTCATTGACCTTTTACTTGCTTTTCTGAACATTTCTGAATATCACACATTTCTTTCTAATATATTCTAAAGTATGCAAATGTCAATGGTATGAAACACCACTGTACTGGAAGAATTAATATATTACTTTAGTAATGTACTTGAGCTAAATAACTGAAGATTTAGGAACACATAAAAGCCACAATAATTTATATGATGTTTTGAAGTGAATTAAATAATTTTAAACTAGATTCTTCAACAGTTGGTATTTTATTTTTATATTAACACAGTGTAATGATTATTCTAAACTCGTACTTTCAGATTCACATATTTAAAGTCATGTAAGCTGTACAACTTCCCTGTCAAAAACACTGGCTGCCAAATTTATATCTGTTTTTTCAGCTGTACCTGATATTTAGAATTTTAAAATTTCTGTAAAGTAGCTATTGTAGTTTGCAATGTGTTTGCTGCCTTTGTGAAGTGGTATATACTTGTATAATTTCTGTATTAAACAAATTAATTTCAAAGGTAAAATTATATTTACTATGCAATTTCAGTTAAAAGTCGTTATTTAATACATAGAACCTAAAACAGCATGCCTCCACTATAATTTAAGATCTCAACCTAAGAACACACATTTATTTAAAGAATTCCCACCCTTTTCCCCTATGATAGACTACAAAAAAAAAAAAAAAAAAAAAAGCCACGATTTGTTTCACTTCCTGGCATCAAGAAATGGAGTTTTTTCTACTCCTTGAATCTGGACTAGATTTGTAATTTGCTTTCTTCAATAGAAAGAGGTGAAAGCCACATTACAATAGTTTTGAGCTTGGGCCTTTAGGGGCTCTAAATTCTTTTGTTTACTGCTTATGGGATTCTTGCCACTGACATGATATGGACAAGCCTGAACTCTTGGAGAATGAGACATCACAAGGAGCCATCCAGCCAGATGCCTAGTAGCTGCCCACAGATAGGTGAGTTAGCTTAGCTGAGATTAACCGAGTCTGTCCTCAGTCAGCAGAACCACCCAGGCAAGCCCAATTCAAATTCATGAGCTAAATAAGTAGTTGCTGCTAGAAGTCACTAAGTTTTTTGGGTAGTTTGTAACACAGCAAAAGCTAATTGATGTGGTACATATATACAATGGAATATTACTCATCCATAAGAAAAGATGAAATACTGCCATTTACAACAACATAGATGAATTTTAGGATTATCATGCCAGGCAAAATAAGTCAGACAGAAAAAGTTGAGAACCATATGATTTCATTCATATGTGAGATATAAAACTGAAAGCAACAAATGAACAAGACAAACAAAAACTAACAGACATAGACAACAGTTTAGGGGTTACCACAGGGAAACAGGGGAGGGAGGAGATAGATAAAGGTAAAGGGGAAATATATGGTAATGAAAGGGAATTTAACTTTGGGTGGTGAACACACAATGAAATATACATATGATGTATTATTGAATTGTACACTTGAAACCTATATAATTTTATTAACCAATGTCACCCTGATAAATTTAATTTAAAAAAATTTTTAAAGTTAATTGATATCAATACAATTATAATTTTTTACCTGAAAGAGTAAATATTCAGGAGAATACTTCCATCTTTGGGTCAACTTATGACTCCATAGACTATGTTTACTGAGAAATATGAACATTTATAAGATAAATATTCTTACCTTAATAGGATTCCTATAGAAAGACTGTTTTCCAGAAGAAGGGAATGACATGGCAATAATACGTTCTGGAAGTCAAAATAGTCGCTATTACAAATGTCATTATAGATGTCAATATATGAGAACTTCATTTACATGGAATCAGACTTCTTTTTCATAGAAAAAAAACTTTCAGGATTGAGAGTGACAGAAAGAAAAGCTAACTACCCTTCAGGATAATCAAGATAAATCTGGGCTCCAGTGAGATGATGGAAACTTCCAGGATGGTTTCCAGTGTTCCTGACTCAGAAACCTGAGATCTACAAAGCCATGACCTTATTTTATGGGGTTCTAGGAAGAGAACAGGTCTTTCTGTGATCCTTGGGATCCAGGATAACAACTAGAACTCACTAAATCCTAAACCAAACAAATGGAGTCAGCTGAAAATCCATTCTACTTTCTCTTCTATAATCAAGTAGTCTTGACTTGAGGTGACCATGGAAAAAATTGTCAGGGCTAAACTACGTGCATGTCACACTACCATAGTGGCATACCTGTTCATAGATAAAGAATGCTTTGAATATGGCTTAGACAAGTCAAGAACAAAATAAACACATAATTACTTACACACAAGAAAAATGTGAAGTTACTATTTTAAGTAAAGTAACAGTTAAACGCCACAAACCAGTAACATAAGTGAGGTCTAAATCAAATCCACCTTTCTTGTATCGCCGTTTGTTTCCTGAAACCTGCGCATTTAAAACAATCATTAATTTGCAAAACATAAATCAACATAAAAATAAACATTATATAAATATCTACAACCCTTGCCAGTATTTCCCAAAATATATTTTTCTGAATCATAAACATGTTTTTGCCCACTTACCATCCTTCTGGTCAGCATTTCAAGACGTCTTTTTTGATAAGCCAGATGAAAAATTCTTATCAGAATGATAAGTCGAAATAAAATTGTCAACCTAACAATAAATTGAAAAGATCCATTTTTGCTTGAGAAACAGGATTTTGTCAATATGAACTAAGAGCAGTGGCTCCTAACCAGGGAAAGTTTTGCACATACCCCTACCCGCCAAGCCTCCCACCCACCCACTTAGGGGGCATTCAACAACGTTTGGAGATGTTTTTGGTTGTGTAATAGACTTTTGCAATATGTGGTTCTTTTGTGGTTTACGATGAGTATTTTTCAATCTTTTTCCCATCAATACAAATTGAAGGTTCTTGTTCACCTTTTTTACTCCCATCAGTAACAGAGGTTCACTACAGCTGCTAACACACATTAGACAGGCAGCAGACTGATATAATTCCCAAGTGTGCTAGCTGGTATCTCACCTACCATCAGAAAGAAACACAATGGCAGAGAACTGATGGTTTGGACTAGTGCTTCTCTAACTTGAGTGTGCATACTGATTCAATAAGTCTAGAATGGGGCCTGAGGTATTTTTCTTCTTGCATTTTTAGCAACCTCTTAGATGATGCTGAGGTACCAGTCAGAGGACCCTACTGGCTTCAGTTATTTTCAAACAACTCCAAAAGGCTATCAAATAATGTTAAGTTTCATAGGGACCTGAATTGAAGTCCTGGGAAGCTGGAGTGTGGAAAGAAGCAAACTATTTGACTAATGAATAAGCGTAGTGAGCCACACAACATCTATATTCCAGTACACATTTGCTCTCTTTTTCTCATTGCCAGAGTAGGAAGAGGAAAAGGAAAAAAAGCCATCGGTGTCTCATATTTTAGTTTCTTGATCCCTAACCATTCTAACTTCGCCTCGGCTTCCTTCATTGCAAATATACTATACTGCAAATTCTACCTCTGTGTTGTTATCCATGTCACTTAGTTTTCTGTTACATTTGCTCTTTCAGAGAATCATCATTGGAGACACTCAAATTTTGCATCTGCTGAAACCAATATTCTCTTGGTGATAGGAAAAACCTAGTAATTTCATGTGTAAGGAATTTGTGGTTGAAATTAAAACTATGATTTAGTGAGAATTTAAAGATGTAGAAAAGTTAAAGTTAATACAAGTGACAAAGTCCCCAGTTTCTACTTTGGGTGTTCCATCTTCTTCATGAAATTAAAGGTACTTAGTGTGTATACTCTTTACTGGTCTCACTAATCCTTTAGTTTCCAAATATTTGAAAATTTATCTAAACATTTCATTTTCAAGCAGCTATTTGACAATGAATCAGCACATTCAGAGTTAAAGAGATTACAGAGAATGAAAGCCAAAGAAAATGAAGGAAAAAAAGAGAAAATGTTTAAGAGAGGTGAATCATATGTTTCTTACCTGGGGATATCTTTAAGAAACCCAAAGTCATAAAAAATGTAAATGATGTTAACCAATAATGTCACCACAATTACGAAAGCATCTAAGAAGTTAAGCGTATCAGAAAAATAGAGTTGTATCCTGTAATATAAAACAAAACATAAATAAATTTATGCCTCCCAAAGAAGAGATAAGGATATTTTAAGAGCACAAATTATTTAACTCTTCTCCATTAAGAATTCTACTTCAATAGATTACTTAAAATTCATTTACTAAACTAGACTAAGGAGAAAATATTTATATTCATTATTTTATACATACATATTACAAAAGCATCGATATAGCAACTTAAGTATAGTATAAGATATAACTAAACCATCGAACAAGAGGCAAGCATTGCCTTCACATAGGTGGGAGAGAAAAGTGGGGTGCCAGGCAGTACTATTGGGCAATGGAAGATGAACATGACACAGCCTTAGAGCAACTGGAGCTATAGAGAGTGTACAAGATGAGCTGGTGAGAGGGAAAGGAGTCCATTACTTTGGCGTACAAACTTATTATCTGGTTTTACACCGACAGTAAAATCTCAATGGGCTGGTGTGAATTTCCCTGAGCAAAGCTGAATTTCTATCCACTGTATCTTTCTCCCCAATACTGGCTCCTTCAGCCATGGGCACTTGTGCTCCACGGAAAGCTTTTTCCAATTTTGGGGTAGCCCCTTTCAGGCTCTGAGTAAACTGAATAAAGCGAGGCAAGAAAATTTAGTCCCTGACTTCCACAGGAATCCAGCTCCAAGTCTTAGCTCACTCCATGCACTTTCTCGGAAAGTCAGCAAACAGAGAAAATATGCTGCTGCTTCGTTGATGGTATGGGCCTGCCTCAGATATCCTCTGGTACTTAACACAAGTTTTTATTTAACTTATCTATTACCTAGTATTTAATATATTGTCAGCTTTTATTTAGATTCAATTCGTTACAGAAGTGTTAATATTTATACAAGTATTTCACACACATGTTCCTCTTAAAAATGTACATGTAGACACATTAACTGCTTGGCCCCATTTTGCAAAACCTTTGAAAAAATTATCTAGAACACATTGTCAGAGACTAGAAAGACAGTTGCAACAATACTATTAAAGCCCAATCCAGTAGAAAGTGAGATTTAGATTGTTGTTTCTCTTATGGACCATGCCTTCCAAGATAAAGAGGGACACATTTGGTTGAGTTGACTGGTAATCATTTTGGGATGCTTCTCATAGCAGTACAAAATATCTTTACGTGTTTGTATAAAAAAAAAATCAAACTTACCTTTCTACAAAAATTTGAAGAAGAACATCCATTAAAAAAAATAAAGCAATAGATAAAGAAATCAAATGATATGCCAAAGGAATATGCATTGTACTATCAGTGACAAGTAGGGCTGTAATGATGAGGGAAACATCCGCAAAGACCAGCAACATTCCAAATATTCTACAAGTAAATAAATAAATAAATAGTATAAAGATAAAGTAATTTTCACCTTTATAGTTAGATATCTAGGCCAATGATCTCATAACAAAATGTCATTATTTAGGATTAAACTCTGCAGTGGTAGGGAGAATTGCATTACCTTAGAATACGAAAAAAAGTTACTCAGTTTTCACCCAATAGAAGCAGTTGTTAGGGAAACAAAATTCCCACCAAACCACTTGATGTTATTGTGAACTTTTATCACAGACACATCAGACTAACACTCCAAAATAGAATAGGCAAACTGAATTAAAACTACATGTCTCTGCTTATAAACTCTTCTTAAAATTAGAGAATTTTATAAGGGGCTTTTTAACAATTTCTCATAATAAATAAAACCTCATTAATCTAGATAATTTTTAAGAATTTAGCAATTTTTAAGAATTTGCTTTAGTCAAGCAAAAGCATGACTAAAATATGCCCTTAAAGGACCACTTTGGCCGGTAAGATTTTTTTATTGGTGAGATTTTATATATTAATGGATGCTTCTAGAACAGTGCTGGGTACATGAGAAGAAATTCAATTTCATAAACACATACATGATTGAATTCTAGAGTATCTCCTAATCTTTTCTCTTGTATATTCTAAAGACATTCTCCATAAATCGATTATACTACTGATATAACCTATGAAGATAAATTAGTCTTAAAAGTACTTTTTTACAATTGCAACAAAAAATAAAATATATATTTAAAAGGAAGCAAGTATATTGTGTGAATTTGTATTACAGTATGAAATCTTACTATAATGTCTAGAAGAAGCCTACATAGAATGCTTCCAGAATTAAGGAGTAATTTTATACAAATAGGTATTTAATACTTATAGAATTTTAAAATGCATACTTCATTTTTACTTTCACGGATAGCAAAAACATATTAAATGTGTTACTATTAGACTTAAATAAATGCCATTCTTTACAATACTTAATGTTCAGCTGAAACTAAAATTCCAAGATAAATTATATTAAATGGGGCACAGAGACTATTTAGCAACACACTGACAGTGGAAATGATTTTTCCCCCTTAAAGATCCTTACTCATTAAAAAATATTGCTATTAAGTTTTAAACATATTTATCTCCTTTTCTAGGGTCTCACATACCTGTACATAACGGATGATACAATTAAGTACACAAGTCTCTTAATCTTGAAGCTGCAAAAAGAATTAAAAATCAAATCTCAAATTTCTCAAGTTTATCACAGATTTCTTCTAATATATGATATGATTTTAACAAATAAACTAGGCCTTTATAAATATAATTTTTAAAATAATTTTTCAGGAGTTTCATAACAAAATGCTTTTAACTAATAACTAAATTTTTCACCTGTCTGCTTCATGATTGTTTTTTACTTTAATATGTGGATGTTTAGCAACACTTCTCTTGACTATAAAGCACCAGCCCCAACATTATGGTAATATTTAACTTGGGGTCATCAACTAAAGCAAAATAGCATGGATTTCATAATGAAATGCATTACGGTGACATTTCATTTCAATGTCACCATAATAAAACATAAAAAAATAAAAATAGAAAAGAGGAAAAATATAAAGAAATAAGTAATCTGTACTATAAAAAAAAGATAGCATGGAGACAGAGGAGAGTGGTAGGAGAGATCTGTGCTCTAGCTCTCCCATTAATGAGTTATCAGATCCTGGACAAGTCAAGTCATCCACAGCAATAAAATAAGAGACTTCAGGAATGGGTAAGGAGTAAATGACACTCTTGTCTTGTAATATTCCTTCTTGAAACAAGATACTTCATGAATATGATAATTAAACATTAATAAGAGTCACGTGTGGGGTTGCAAGTGCACTTTGGAGATAAGGAATTTTAATAAGATACATTTCAAAGGAGAAACACTCTAGCAACTGGGCTCCTTCCATTAACAGGAGGAGGAGAAGCCTGTTTGATGGAGCTTCCAGTTATTTATTGTTTTACCCTATGGCTGAAGACAAGGTAGCAATTGGGAAGCAATTTATTGCCTCTCTGAAGCCTCCAACAGGGGACCCAAATTCCACCCCAAGTAGGACTGATCCCAAGATAGTGCTCAAAGTCTGTATAAAGACTGTAGAATGGAGAGGATAAATGTTGAACAGAACTGCAACACTACCGAAATTGCCCATGGATGAATACTGTTAGGCTAACCTGAGATATAAGAGCTCCTCACTCCCCTAATCTCTTTTTTTCCATCTGCACTGGCTTAGGGAGTCAAGGTTGATGTAGATGAGGGAACTGATTGTCTAAAAGAGGTGAATTTTCCCCTGAAGCTACCATTCTCTTAACATAGGCCCTTTCTGATCCCACACATATAACTGATGTCTGGGTAGCAAAGAAATGTAATAATAAATCTGACGTTGCCTGACAAAGTGAGCATACAGAACCATACCTGACAGAATCAGAAGCACAAAGGCACAGCTTGGGTGGCTTCTATCTTTTTTGGTGCCTCCTAAAACTAACACAAGTAAATATACAGTCGAGATTTTTAAAAAGTGTGCTATATAAATGCAGCTTCAAACAATGTGTGCAGAGTTTTCGGGGAAAGGACTGCGACCAATAATTCTACACCCAGGAAAAGTACTGTTTATATTTGGAAGCAACATACATTCTCTAACAGGCAGAAACTCAAAGCATAGCATCCATGTATCTTTCCTAAAAACAATCACTCAGAGATGTGCTCAAGCTGAGTAATGAATCTAAATGAACACAGGAATCAGTAAGACACCTTATAGAGAATAGATGTTAAATACAATCATAAAAATTCAGAACCAAGTATAAATAATCATTGCTAATGTAGCATATGGAGATGTAAACAAATGATTCTAAAAGCAAAGATAAATAACAAAATTACTGATAACAGTATGGATTTCAATTTGCAAGTTTTCTCACACAATTTGGGATTTAAGGGTTATAAGATGATGATAGTAAAAGCATGTTGTATTTCTTACCTTTCTCAGATACAAATCCAGTTTCAATATGGATATTGATGGAGAAACAAAAATACAATTATGTTTTCTAAAAATAGGTTTATAACCTTCATTTCATTAAAAAATGGAAAGGAGTAAAAACAAATCAATTCATAGTGACATATTAAAATATTTAAAAAGAAAGTATCAAGAAAGTGTTTATTATAGAAAACAAAGTAAAATGATAGTAAATAAAACCTAATATGCCGGAAATGATAGCAAATACAAACACAAACTCTCATATTAAATATTGACAATATTCTCAGATAAATTTAAAATTTATATGCACTATATTCTGTATAGAAGTGACAAAAACTAAATTAAAGTGATAGTTTGAAAATAAAGAGATGGGCAAAGATAGAGATGCAAACGTTAAATCTCAAAACCATTAATAGTTGTAATATTTATATCAAAGTTGAATTCGAAGCAAAAATATTAACTAAAAATATGACTAAGACTTATTTTATATTGATAAAAGGTAGACCCTATAGGACATTAACAAGGTCATGTGGAACAGGGGTAGGATTTGTATTGGGAGTGGTTCTTGCCTTTCCAATGGACACTAATTTTTCTGTACATATGCTGGCAGGGGAGGCATGTGGCATACTCAAAACATTAAAGGCACTGGGTGATTCTTTGGTTTTCTTGCTCTCACTCTAGGGATCTGGCTGTTCTCCTCAAACTATCCACAACACAAAAAGCTACTTTCCTAAATTGTAGTGTAAACTCAGGTTGAAGAGAGCAGAGTCAGGATTTAAGTTAGTTCATTAGAATTCTCTACCAGGGTTTGGAAAGGAAGCCCTAAAGTTCTTAGGATGTCTCTTGTTTGGCTTGGTCCTCAGAGAATATATTTCTCTTTGGAGCAGTGTTGGTACTAAGGATAGGATCTATGTGTCTCTAACCAAATACTATCTATTCTTAAAAATACATATATTGAAATAGTTTCTATTGTGCAGAGAATACATATATTTAAAGACATTATATCAAACATTTAAAGAAATTCATCCTGTAATAAGATATAGAAAACTTCAATGTACTCTAAAATATAAAAAGTATGCAGGCTGCATTTTCTGAAAATGGTGTAATAAAACCAGTGCAGTGGCAGAGTACTGACATACAAGATATTTTATTGCATTTTATCACTACAGAAATTAAAAGGTACCATACATGACAACTTAGATTAAATGATGATATTGCTTAAAAGATACAAACTACTAACATTTTCTAAAGAAAAAAAAACAGATAACCTGAATGGTTTAAAAAATACTACCTTTTAAAGAAATTGAAATTGTAATTTAAAATTTTCCAACAACAAAAATCCAAGCTCAGGTAACTTAACTGCAGAATTTTACTAATTTTCTTTAAAGCAGAAATAATACTAATTCTAAACAAACTCGGATAAATGAAGAAGACTAACTCATTTTAGAAGACTAACATTACTCTGATACCAAAACCAGTAACAACATTACAGGACAAGACAAAGAAATGACCATCTTTCATGAATATAGATACAAAAATCCTTAACAAAACATTAGCAAATTGAATTCGGCAATATATAATATATAATAT